AGCACACACACAATTTCATATTGCTTTCTTGCTTTTGGGAGAACATCAACGTAATCCCCACCGTCTTTCTTGTCTGAAACTGTGCATTATATATAGCCATTGGAAAGAAATGACAGCCACTCATTAGGTCTCTATGGCCTTGGACAGACAAATGGGTGAGAGCAATGTAAGGGACACTGTCCCTGACTAAGCGTGCTGGGCCCGCATGCCTGAGCCCAGATGCAGAGGTAATGGAACAGCAGTTGTGCCCAGACAGCCCAGACAGCCCTCTACAGCTGGGGCATCTCTGGTTCCCCAGGCTAAAGTTAGTATGACTTAGTTCAGAGGGTCACAGTCATATTGCTGTGCTCTTTGGCGACAACATAAAAGGCCTGGAATCTCTGTACTTGGAACCGTTCTAAGTTTCAGTGTTCTTTTAAGAACGTTTCTTGTTTTGGTTTTTCTCTCCTTGGTTTGTGCTGTCCTTCAATTATTGAGTCTTGTCCAGCCCCAGAACAGAGAGGGAAGGGAAAGCTACCGGCAGAGGAAGCCATGGGAAGCCAACAGCAATCTTCAAATTGTGTCTCTACTAAAAATATAAACCAAGAAAGAGACACCTATAATTTTTTTCCTGGTGCTACTGTAATCTTCAAATGAAGATTTTTAGAAAGTTTGACAAATATTTACCAGGTCAAGTTTATGATAGTTTGTGAAATTATATATGTCATGGACATGGGAAATTTTGTGGCTGCCTTCCTCACAACTCCCACCTCCTTTCCTTACCGTAGAATTCCTCTCTCTGGCCATAATCTTGAATGGCACTTGCACACAGCAATAAACACATATCTGCCTATTAAGTTTAAGGAGGTTACTTTTCCCTCTCAAATCTGCTTTCCAAAACAAAACAAAAAAAACTGACAAGTGATGTAGCTTCTGGGAATTTGGAAGTGACTTTGGTTAGGTAATGTTAAAAGCAGCTCTCTTGAAAAACTATGATTTATATACCTTTACATCCATGTCCAGTGGCACTGGAGCCATTGGAGTTCAAGGTTGAGTGCTCAGCCTTGGTGGCTTAGAAACTGATGTATGTCGGGCTTCAGCTCTAGAAGCATGTCATGCTAGCCAACTCCCGGGGGCCTGATGTGGAAACAATTAATCAGTGATCAACTCCCAGGGAGAAACTGAGCAGCAAGGAAACCAGAACACCCTGCAGACAGCTCTCTGCTGAGTTGAGAACCACATGCACATGAGAGTTTTGGGGAGTGCTTCTGACACCCTCCAGGGACATCAGCAACTCTCTCTGTTTACTGAGTGTCAGTGCCAGTCATTGGCAGCAGCCCTGTGAGGGAGCTGCTATTGTTCCATTTTTGTGTTTATCAGGGAACTTCTGCTTAGTGACACTGTCAGTGATGCCTCAATTCAAATCCAGTTCCCTCAAATTTCTTGTATCTAATTACTGAGCCCCTGTTCTTAACCACCTTATGTGGTTTTACGATTTTACTAAGAGGGGCCCGGGGAATCCAAGGAGATGCTTCAGGAACACTGTCAGGCAGGAGAGCAAAGCATAAGATTCGCTTTGAAAAGAGGGTTCCAATATTTCAGTGTTTGAAAGTCATGATATGCTGTTTATGCCATCCCTAATATGCATGTGTGTGTATGAGTGCATATGGCTGTATTGTATATGTATGTAAATTAGGAGTGGAGTATATTAGCATAGTGTATGATACCAACTCATTACATCAGGCTTTACTCATACTCACTTGCCAGGAACCCTACAAGGTGGGTATCTTCCCTGTGGGATCCTTGAGGACCAGGAGAGGGTAGGTATGGTGGCTGAGGTTGCATCTGAGCCCTTCCATGTGCCACTGCTCTAGGGGTCTGTCTCACCTGTCTCCAGAATTCCTAATGACCCCTCCCTGGGTAACCCATCCTATCTAATAAAGAGGGAATATGCTAATTGACCCTCATGCTGTCGCAAAGATGGTGGCACCCACAGCCAATAAGGAGGAAATATGCTAATTGACTGCCATGCCCTCAAAGATGGCAGTGCCCACAGCCAATAAGGAGGGAATATGCTAATTGACTGCCACCCCCTCAAAGATGGCGGCACCCAGTCCCCTCACCCCTGCCGCTCCAGGCGCCTGCCTTCTGAGTCCCCCAGTCCCCTTCGCCCCCCAGCTGCCCAGGGCCAGGGCTGGCCCAAGCTGCAGGCAAGCCTCAGATGTTGGCTGCCCAGCCTCCCAGGGCCACCTGAGGCTCAGGTAACCAGGGCCGGCTGAGGCTTGCGCTGCCGGCAGTGGCAGCAGCAGAGATGTGATAGGGCGTCGCCTTCCCCTGATCGCTGCGTCTCCTCCTGCCCCTGAGGGCTCCCTGATTGTGAGAGGGTGCAGGCCGGGCTGAGGGACCCCCCCCCCCCTCCAGTGCATGAATTTTCATGCACCGGGCTTCTAGTACTAAATATTTTGCTATTCATATTCTGGGGATGGCTAGTTTCTTTCTTTAGGGCAGTGATGAACTTACAGTTTTCTTACTTGTACTCTAGTCTGAAGGCATGTCCCACCACTGTGTTTAGAACTAGATGACCTAGTAGCTCCTCAGCATCATCTCTCTGGAAGTGACGTGTGATTATGACATTCCCAGAGTGGGTGAGGTTGCCTGGCTTCACCTCCAGGAGGAATCAGCCCTCTTCCTGTGTTGCTTCTTCCTGGAGTTCCTGCCAGGGACGATGGGAGCAGGCCTGGATTCCTTCTCACGGCAGTGCTTTTAATAGTTATCTTCGGTTTTCTTGTGGAAACTGGTCACATGAAAGTGAAGGCCTGGGTGCAGACGTCAGAAAATTGCCAGCCACCTGCTGGCTTCCTTGCATCTCTGGGTGGTGACTGCTCATCTCCCACCTCTGTAATTTTCATGTGATTCCAGATGCAGATCCCCCCCAAAGTGTGCTTCTTCAAAGTGCAATCTAAGCCTCTGAAATATTCCCACTACTATTCTTAATTCTGGAATTTCAGAAAAATAACAAGTTTCAATTTTTGTGTAAACTAAAAAAACAACACAAGTAAGAGGTGCTATTGCCGTCACTGATTTTTGGTTCAGGTTGTTCAGACCCAGTTTGTAATGGGTCACAAAAGCTTATCTAGGAGATATCACTTCATGGATTGCTTGAAATGTCTACTTCTCTACATTTCTGCTGCACTGGTCCCATTATATGCCTACAAATAAGTTTATACTTGGTAATAATTATTTTGAACCAGTTTGGAAGGCTGATTTTTCCTTTCTGGTAGAAAATGAATTATTGGTATGGAGCATCCCCTGAGCTCTAAAGTAGCAACATGTCTAAATGGAGCTTAGAATGTAACACAGCGAACTTGCTTTGTGGTAAAGAGCTAAAATGGGATATACTAATAGGTTATACCGATTTTTACTTAAAGCAGAAGTAATTTTACTAATTTCTGAGTGGGTATGGGCAACCTCAAGTTTTTTTTTTTTTTTTTTTTTTTTTTTTTTTTTTGTTTTTTAAAAGAAAGCTTTTTTTTCCTGGTGGGGAGTTTTCACTCTTCTTTCATGTAAATTTAGAGAACTGGATTTTTATTTTACTTCACCAAAAGTGGCATCTGAATAACAAGAAAAAGCCTCTTTTTTTAATTCAAAATGAAAAAAAAAAAAAGAATAACAAGGAGCAAGCGAGAGATCATCTCCCCCCCATATTTCAGTCTCTTTTATTTTCTACTGCGAGCAAATTCATTATCTGATCTTCGGTTTCATTTATTTCAGTGCCTGTGCTGTGCACGTGGTGGAGCCGGCTTCTCCCGAGATTGTGTTCTGACAGGGTGATAGGGGCCAGAGCCCTGCCGTCAGTATGCACTTGCTTTGAGAGGCGTGCTGAAAAAACACGTTTCCCCTCCCTTTCATTTTACACTTAAAGCCAGTCGCATAAGAGGAATTGGCTGTTCTCCGCAGATCTGTCTCTATCTTGGCTTCTCCCTTTTGTAGCCGGGCCCTCCATCAATGGGAAAACGGCGAGCGCAAGTGTTTAGCCTGTCGTGGCCAGTTCACTGGATTATCCACACAAAATGTTTCCTATTGAAGAAGGAACAAGGCAGGGAGGGTGTTGTACAGTCTGGCTATTCTTCAGAAATGCCTCTTACAGGGGCTTCAGGGACTGGCTGTGGGGAAGGAGGACCAGGAGGGGATCGGGGTATGGTGGCAGCCAGGTGTGTTCGAAAATTTATTTTCATCAGCCCAAGTGTACAGCCTGCTTTAGCGCCCCCAAAACCAAAGCAGGGGCTTGATCAAAATCTCATTCTTTCCCGGCTTTCCAACCCCAGGAGCACTTAATTACTGATTGTTCCCTGAATGTGGCTAATCAGGATGCCATGCGAAATATGAGTGTGAGAGGAAGCGGGCTTTCATCCCCTGCCTTTCAGAGAGGAGGAGGGGCCCTCAGCACAGTGGAGCCCAGATCTGTGAAACTGGTTTCATTCATATGCAAGACTTCGCAGTAAAGCTCCCGCAGGGATATGTGGAGTGTCCGATTTCACATTTTTCAGACCTTTGCAGTTAGTCACCTTTCTTAGGGGTGGGCAACTCTGCCATGTGCGTGCTCCGATTTCCAGTCTAGACACATTTGCTTTCTTCTCAATGCAGCACCATGATGGTGAGAGGTAAGTTTTCAGTGGTGAAATTAATGATCAGGTCAAATTGAAGATAGGGTCTCAGAAGCTACTTTAAGCTCAGATGCCTGTTGTTTAGAATTTCTCCATGAAAGCCAAAGGCAGACCTTTACTTTTCTATATTCATAGTGTCATAAAAGTTTTCAAAGGTCAATATTCTTTGCCCAAATAATCGTATATACTACCTGCATTATGTCACCATGACTTTAAGGTAAAAGAAAGATATATTTCTGATATCCCCCAAGACACCTTGAGTTTACTTCAAATCTTATGTCCTCTCACAGACAGCCTCTGCCTATGGCGACACTTGTTTCACGCATACTTCTTGTACCCGGTTTTCTTTTTCTCCAGGCCTTCTGCCTTATCGAGTAGCCCAACGTATTCGGACCTGCCCTTCATTAGGATCTCCCCGCACCGGAACCCTGCTGCCGCCTCCGAGTCCCCCTTCAGCCCTCCACATCCCTACATCAACCCGTACATGGACTATATCCGCTCTCTGCACAGCAGCCCATCCCTCTCCATGATCTCCGCAGCCCGGGGGCTGAGTCCCACAGATGGTAAGTCTCAGACCGACCCATTTTGCTTCTTTGCATCACGCCACCTTCTCCTCCTGCCTCCCCTGGGACATGGTGTTGAGTAGCTTTGTTTATTGAGTTGTTTCCCACATGCCAGACACTAGGCTAAGTGCTTTGAGTTCATGCTTTCGTGCCAATGTAGAGACACCTCCATCAGGGTGGGGTTATTATCTCCATTTTCAGGTAAAGATAGCAGTGTGCAGAGGGGCCAAATAGTTTGCAGCCTCGTCCATTGGCCTAGTACAGCGATGGCGAACCTTTTGAGCTCGGCGTGTCAGCATTTTGAAAAACCCTAACTTAACTCTGGTGCCGTGTCACATATAGAAATTTTTTGATATTTGCAACCATAGTAAAACAAAGACTTATATTTTTGATATTTGCCATTTAACAAAGAAAAATCAACCAAAAAAATGAGTTCGCGTGTCACCTCTGACACACGTGTCATAGGTTTGCCATCACTGGCCTAGTAGGTGGTGGAGGTGCAAAATCCTTGTTCTGACCCACCTTTCTGTTTGGCGTCTTGACAGAAGTTTAGACTGGCCCTGTAAGCCTTCATACAGTGAGCATATGTAATAACTGGAGCCTTTTGCTCACTATCCAGGGTTTACTTTTCTGTTCTGCAGTACATTTATACCGACGTGTCTATTACAGCGGCTTTTCTCAAACGCCAGTGTGCATATGGATCACCTGGGGATGGTGATAAAATGTGATTCTTTGTTGGGTAGGTCCAGGGGTGGCCTGAGATTCTGCACATCTGTAAAGCTCTCAGGTGATGTCAGTGCAGCTGGTCCATGAACCACGCTCTGAGCAGCCAGGTCTTAGAGAACTTGATGCTTCAGAACTGATGCTGCCCTCTATCCTTGATGGTACCAAACAGAAACTGGGAGAGGGATATGGTGGGAAAAGATAAGAACTTTGACTTGAATTCAGTAATACCTGATGCTCAGGTTAAGCTCTCAAGGATCAAATTCTGGTTGGTTCTATTAGCCTCCAAATGAATTACGTTGACATGACCCTTTTTCATTGGGCTTGTGTATTCTGCAACTGTCAAGTTCTAAAGCATTCCTTCGATTCAGGCAGGACATTTTCCATTGCATACGCATGTATACAAACTCACTTGCCCACAATTGCCAGAACCTGAATTAAGGTCCAGAATGGGATAAGCTTTATTGATTGCGGATGGCAGGCTGTGCGTTCCCTGCAGCAGGTCACAAATCCCTGGTGCTTGTTGGGGAGCTCAGAGAAACACCATGCGCCCCATTTCACTGAGCAGCATTTGAAGGGACCCTGCAGAGTCCCCATGTCTACGCAGACCACTCTCCAAGGCTGGCTGTGTGTGGTGGGAACAGTGTGTGGGAAAGCCGCACGAGGCTTCTCAGTAAACATTACTCAGTTGTGCTTCCAGGAGTAGCAGTGCTCCAGAAACAGCTGCCGGCTCCTTGTAAGGCACCTAAGGAGAACAAGTTTTGCCATTTGGACAAGATTCACTTTTTTTTTCAGTTTTATTGAAATATAATTGACATAAGCACTGTATAAGTTTAAGGTGTATAGCATAATGACTTACGTATATTGTGAAGTGATTACCTCAGTAAGTTTAGTTAACATCCATTTTCTCATATAGATAGAAAAAGGGAAAAGAAAAAAAAATGTTATCTCCCCTGTGATGAGACATTTTAGGATTTAATGTCTTAGCACCTTTCAAATATACCATCCAGCAGTTAATTATGTGCATCATATTGCACATCCCCAGTTCTTATTTCTCTTATAATTGGAAGTTTGTAAGATTTACATTTTAAAAAGAAAACCATCAGAGAGTCAAAGGCAATCTTCTGGTTGGGATTTGGTTTTAAAATGGGAAAAATGAGAAATTACCTCCATGGAGCACTTGGGAGTTTTGGGAAATGACTACCAAGGGGACCAGAGGCTGAGAAGGGGAAGGGAGGTCAGCTAACAGTGGGGTTGAAGTCGTGCCTGGCTTGTGGAAATTTAGTTGAGCCACTAGAAAATTGGACCTCTAGTTAAAGGATGTTATCCTCTGCTACCCATAGTATTTCATGGTGCGTGTGAATAAGACATTTTTTGATTGGTGGTTCTACCTAACTCTTCTTGCCTCAAGAGTCCAATGATATCCAATAAAATAAAGTTAAGTCACTAATAACTACTTAAGTCACTAATCCTGTGGTCTAAGAATTTTTAGTCTATATCATGTCTTTATCATGTATAAAAAGCATGTGGGCACACCATCAGTAGGTGAGTGGATAAAAAAGCTGTGGTACATTTATACCATGGGATACTATGCCGCAGTGAAAAAGAAGAATCTCTTAGCCTTTGGGACAGCATGTTGGGACCTGGAGAGTATCAGGCTAAGTGAAATAAGTCAGTCAGAGAAAGTCAGTTATCACATGATCTCACTCATGTGGAATCTAAGTAATAAAATAAACTGATGAATGGAGTGAGTCCAGAGACAGGGAAGCATGAAACAGAGTGTGGAATCTCGGAGGGAAGGTGGGGGAGGATGGATGGGAAGTAATCAACCAAAGACCTTGAATGCATATATGCATAACCCACGGTCAGAGACAGTGGGGTGGTGAGGGTCTAGGGCGGGGGGCGGGGAGCAGGAGTGGGCTGGAGGGGGTGGAGGGGGCAAAAAGGGGGTATATGGAATACTTTCAACAATAAAGATTTTAAAAGAAAGACTGTGGGCACAAATGTGAAACACAAAGCTATTTATAGAATGCCAGTTTTTCCACATAATAATTGCAAAACTGACTTTTAGTGATGGAATGCCATGTGCTAATAGGCACTTACATGCAGCACTGCATTCCTGCTCCCAACAACCTCATGGAGCAGCAAGAGGCAGAGCTGACATGTGTATCCAGATCTTCACGAATCTGGAGACCACCCTCAGAACCTCTGCAATATCCGTCAGTTTTGCCATAAATTGGCAGGCGGACACTGATTATTATCCCACTCTCACAGAGCTGACTCTTGCCAGTAAATTGCTCAAGATTGGTAGGTATATTTTCTTTTTGATTTTGTAATGAAAAAAGAGCTTTTAACTTATGGAACACAAAATTGCAGCTATCACCCAGTCGTGTGTTATTAAAGCTGTGCGGCCTTTCCCCTTGTAAGTGCTGGGTCCTCCAGGTAGAGAGAGCTGACTCAGACACGCCTGTCAGAAAGCTTAGAGAAGTATGTTAAGTATGTCTGGAAAGAAAGCACAGTTGTCGAAGTTGTCAACTACTATAAGGAGTGTGAACACACTGATTTTATATAAGAAACAGTTTTGTTTTGTAAGGCAGAGGTGGGAATGGGTTATGTACATGCATACATTTTAATCATTTTAAATTCTTGAAGATTTCTTTAAACGGGGGGATGTACGAGAAATAATTTTTCTCCCACCTTCTAAGTTCTTCTGGCTGCCTGGTAATTAATAAGAGACAGATTAACAGGAGAAAATGCCCCAAATTTATTACGGATGTACATGCAGAGGTGCCATAAAAATATGGAACCTGAAGATGCATTTGGGGTTTGTATGCCATTCTGGACAAAGGAGAGGGAGGCAGGGGTCTGGGGTTTCAAAGGGACAGCAGGCAACATACAGCAGGTAGATGAGAAAGAGCAAATGTGCTGAACAAGTTCTTGCTGGGTCACCCGGAAACAATTGGACACAGAGGGATGTCCAAAAAAAAAAAAGAGGCTTTTTTAGATTTCACTCTGTCTGCCACACTTAGTTTACATTATGGTGTTAAATGATGCTCCCTTCTTTTTTTATGTTTCAGATACAGTTGACATTCACTATTATTTTATGATGTACAGCACATTGGTCAGACAGTTGAATAATTTACAAAGTGATCCCCTGATAATTCTGGTACCCAGATGTTCCTTTCTTGTAAACAGGTTTTTTTCTGTCTGAATTCCTTTAGGTGTGTAAGGAAGAGGGTCAGAGGTTCTTTCTGAGCCTTTCATGTCTTAAAATCAATACCCCAAAATACATCTTTTTGGGGTGGCAAAACTTTGGTCCCTTCAACACTAACCTCAAATATTTTATAATGTACTAGTGGCCCGGTGCACAAAATTCGTGCGGGGGGGGGGGGTGTCCCTGTGCCCGGCCTGCACCCTCTCCAATCTGAGATCCCTCAGGGGATGTCCGACTGCCGGTTTAGGCCCGATCCCACAGACTGGCAGTCAGACATCCCTTTCGCAATCTGGGACCACTGGCTCCTAACCGCTTACCTGCCTGCCTGCCTGATTGCCCCTAACTCTGCCTGTTGGCCTACTTGCCCCCAAGTGCCCCCCTGCTGGCCTTCTCAACCCCAATGGTCCCCCCCCACCCCCCGCTGGCCTGCTCGCCCCCAACTGCCCCTCCCCCCCCAGCTGGCCTGATCGCCCCTAACCACCTCTGCCTAGGCACCACCACTATGGCTTTGTCCAGAAGGACGTCCGGAAGGTCTCCCAGTCTAATTAGCATATTACCCTTTTATTAGTATAGATTTTATTAGCGCTGTTCTTTTCCTTCAGTTTTTTTTCCTAATAAAAGATGTCTGGTAGACTTAAGTGAAAGTACAATTTGAGTCAAAGGAATTTTACTAGAATGAGCCATAAAAGGAATTGTTGATGTGGGCTGCATAACAAATGGACTGTTGACCTTCTTTCAACAAGTACCCATCCTTTTCATTCTTTTCTCCTCTTCTCTTCCAGCGCCCCACGCGGGAGTCAGCCCAGCAGAGTACTATCATCAGATGGCTCTGTTAGCTGGCCAGCGCAGCCCCTACGCAGACATCCTTCCCACGGCGGCCACCACTGGCGCTGGGGCCATCCACATGGAATATTTTCATGCCATGGACAGTAAGTGATGGGGCCATGTTCTGCAGGGGTGGCAGACGCTAACTCACGCACTGGAGAGGAAGACACAAAGATTAGGTAATTGTCTGACTTGACAAACCAGAGGAAGAGGAGGAGCCACCAATACTTGGTGCTCTGGTGCTGTTGGTATTTTAGGAGGCTGCCAGATACGGGGCCATCCCAGGACCCCTGTTTAACTCGGAACGAACTGGAAGGAGCAGGCGATTGTAATTCTGCAGAGAAACAAAAAACTACTCTTCCTCTTCTTGATAACAAAATAAGGAAACCTGTTTGATTACATGAGTGTACTTTGCCTAGTCATTTCTTGGTTTTTTATGCCTTAGAAGTTAATTTTTAAAAAGAACTGTACTTGGTTTGACTTTTTTTTATTTGATTTTATTTGCCTCATTTGTTTTCTTTACATTAAAACTTATATTTCACTAAAACCTTTTATCTAAGAAAAATTAAAAGCCTTTCCAAATTAGAAGCCTATTTTTGGTACATAGCAGTGGGAGAAAATGGGATCATTTGATGCATTTTATATCAGTTATTTTGGGGTCTTATGATGATTTCTCTGGGTCACTTACCAAGACGTGTAGAAAAATGAGGCTATGGTTGTGACTTTTCAGAACATCCCAGAGTTCTCAGCTATGCAGATTCTCTGAGTCCACATCCATTTGTCAGGTAGTAGGAGGTGACTTGGAAGCATCATCCAGGGGGTCATCAATGAAAGCCACTACCCTTTGAATATGACAGTAATATGACTTTGAGGAGAGCGTATGCTTGAGATTTTGTTTGTACTCCGTAGTAGCAGTGATTAACTTGATATATATATATATATATATATATATATATATATATATATATATGATTGATTTTAGAGAGGAAGGGAGAGGGAAAGAGAGATAGAAACATCAATGATGAGAATCATTGATTGGCTGCCTCCTGCGTGCCCCCTGCTGGGGATCGAGCCTGCAACCTGGGCATGTGCCCAGACTGGCATCGGACCCGGGACCCTTCAGTCCACAGCTCGATGCTCTATCCACTGAGCCATACCAGCTAGGGCAAGTTGTGTTTTTCCATCACCGTCTATTTGTATTCTTTTGTGAAAAGGGTATATATCTGTCAACTCAGACACTAGTTAGTAATTCAGTCCGTAGGTCTGGAGCAGGTCCGGGTGAAGCCTGTAGCTCAGTCTCTCCATCATGAACGAGCGTGGCTGTGTCACATAGTAACACGAGCGTGTGCAGGCTTCCCTTAGGGAGCTGGTGACCACACACAAAGTGGAACATGTATTCCATGTTCCGCGGGGCCTTTGTTGTTCTGCTCTGTAGAGTGGAGAGCTTCAATTTCCGATTCATCATAAGCACTTTTCAATTAGGGACTGTTGAAAAAAGAGTTCGGTGTTATTATGCAAATTCGTTATTTTAAATCTGCAAATAATTAAAATAATACAGAATCCTTGGAAGGTCAGCCCATACATTACCTTCCTTATTTGATGAGAATCTGGTTAGTCAGACAATGGTGGTTTTTATCTAAATAAAGGATGAAGCTATCCTTTTACTTTGTAAAAACTAATTAAAGGAATTTTAATTTGCCAAGTATATGGTAAATTGATTGTCATTAAGTAGGAATTTAGATGTCCTATCATTCATCACATAAAAAGAAAACTCCTTTTTCTTTGTCAGAATATTTTATTAGAATGGAGAAACAAAACAATTAACAGGAAGCCAAATCAAAGATACCCGTGTTGGAACAATAAGAATGCTCAAGCTTATATTTAAAAAGGAAATGGTTTGACCAGTGAAGACCTGGGCCTCTTCTCTTTCAGCTGTTTTGAAAGTGCTCACCTTGTCTCCTCTTCCCTTCAACAGAGGATCCCAAATCACTGCCTCACAGTGCTGAGTTTATCTCGCTTTGCTTGGTTATTAGGGGGTTGGGAAAAGCATAATGAAAGGGTTGGGGAGTGCATAAAGTACTATATTCTTTCTCACTAAAATACTTGAGATAGCATTTGGTTAAGCAGAGCCTAAGAAGTGTACTCGGAATTTAGCAGACTTTTCCAATAGCGAAGTAAAACCAGTTTAAACTTTTGCAATGAAAGCACAGCTGTAGGAGCAAAGCCAAACTGGGATCCAGCGGGTCACTCAGGCCCGTTGTCACAGATCTGGTCTCCTCGGTTGGCAAAAATCACAAGGTCTTTTCAGATGAGCAGCTGATTTTTAAAAAAATGTATTTTTATTGATTTCAGAGAGGAAGGGAGAAGGGGAGAGAGAGAAACATCAATGGTAAGAGAGAATCATTGATTGGCTGCTTCCTGCATGGCCCCCTACTGGGGATCGAGCCTGCAACCTGGGCATGTGCCCTTGACTGGAATCGAACCTGGGATTCTTCAGTCCGCAGGCTGACGCTCTATCTACTGAGCCAAACCCGCTAAGGCACCACCTGATTTTTAAATGAGCCAATAGTGGGCATAGCCGGGTTCCAGCCAGCTTCAGTATAGAGCATTTTTTGTTGCATGCTAGAATGAAGTCTGTTTTATGGCTCTCACTCTACCTTTTGGGATTCGAGTGACCTTAAAGTACAGGAGAGCGAGAGATATCCCTACAAGGAACATGCTAGAGATGAGGACACCTGAAAAACAACACTGTTGATATTGGCAAAAACCGACTTCCATTCCATCTTGGAGGGAAAAACAGATTTGCTAGACCAGTGCCAGGCCAAGAGCAACCCCAGGGTCCTTGGAGGGATGAAGTCAGGCTCTGCCTATGTCTGTCTGGCTTTGGAAGGCATGAAGGAATATAAGGTCACTAGAGTTTTATAGCATCAGATGGCCTCCTTAGCTAGTTAGTGATTTAAATAATTAAAAGGTGTTTCAGAGATCAGCTCTTTAATGCCTGTTACTTCTGACTGTGCCATTGATCCCAGAGTCCAAGTGAGAAGGGTTATCGTTGAGGATTGTCTGGAAGTTGACCATAAGTCCAGTTTGTCCTTGGAAATTTTTTGGAAGTGGAATGTATTTCTTCATTGAAAAATTTCTATATGATGAAATTAGCCTCTCGTGGGAATTGTCAAACATTTATGTGTAAGGCAGATGCCATAATAAAACACTAAAAGGTGTGCACATAGTTGGCATTACCAATTTTGTACTAACATGCCCTGAATCAGCTAATGAAATTATTCTCAGTGAAGAAACTCGATTTTAAATGTGCCTGAAAGAAAAATTTGAGTAGGTACCACATTTGTCATTTGAGCTGGTTTCCCAGTTTTATACATGGGTGGTACTAACTTACTAAGTTCCAGTTTGTGATTTATTTTTTATTAACTATAAAATATATCTCTATTTATTTCTATAATGTTATCTGTAGGGTCTTTATATTCCTCTATTCTATGTTATTGCATTAAAGCATATTGGATTGTGGTCTTGTGTCAAGGTCCATCTCTGAACAGGAAAATATTCGCAATGGGTTTCCCAGAGACCAAGTGCCTAGACTTCTTTATATAAAGAAGACTTAGCTTTTACTTCCGTTTTCTGGGTACCATAAAATTACCTTGTCCCTCTCACCAGGCATATCCATGCCATGACATAGAAACCCTCCATTGTTAGTTCAAAGTAATCGTGTTTTATTTGCCACTATCTCTTGGGATTATGTTTTCATTCTTGCATTAAACTTTATTTTGATGACATTGTAATATGAATGTAACCTTAGAAAGGGCAGGAGTGGGCCTGTGAGCCACATGCATAGCTGTGCCCTGAAATTCAGATCTCTGCTATCTACCAAGTTGAAGGTAAATGGGCGTTTATTTTTTAACTCTCCAGTTAAGAAGGGTTAATACAAGTTGGCTTGCCTTTGAGTTGTGACTTGTTAACCTCCAGATTAGCACTTCACTGGTGGGATCTTCCTGAAGGTGAAACATTCTAATAAATGTAAATAATTAATAAGTCCAGAGAATTAAAATAGAGTTATCAAATCTCATTATAGTGCTTGCTGGGGCTTTAACTTTATAAACAAACTACATCCCCAGATTTTAAATGTTTCTTGGGACTTACGTTGTTGTTAGGCTATGGGGAATTTAGGGCAGGGTTCCTCAGTTTTAGCACTCTTGATGCCAGACAGTTCATCCTGGGGAGCTGTCCCCCACATCTGGGGTGTTCAGCTGCATCTCTGGCCTCTCCTCACTAGATGTAAGTAGCACCCCGTGAGTTATGATAAGCAAAATGTCTCCAGATGTTGTCATATGACCCCTGGGGACAATATTGCCCCCCAGTTGAGAACCATTAATTTGGATAATATATTTAGCAGTTATTTTAAGAAATGAATCAGATGACTACAGACATTGTGGGGAAATGAGTGTATAACCAAGCTGAATCTTTTATCTTAGGATACTTTAACTCATTTTTCCTTTGGCTCATTGCCTTAAAGTGGTGTGTGTTGGCGGGGTGGTGTGTTGTGTAGCTGTGGGAACCACTGTCTTTGTTGCTTGTGGTGAATTAATGACGGGAATATCTAAGCAGCCATCAGATTCATAAATCACTAGAAATGAGAGGGATAACACATAAAAGTCTTTCCCTTTTGTTTAGCAATTTATCACTTTGCCTGCACATTAATAAACAGAGCTCCCCTGAGGTAAGCCCTTGGAAGATAAATATTTCTCCCTAATTTCCTCAATTGTATCCAGTAGATCACAAGTGGGAGGAGAGGTACTTGTCATCAGAAGTTGCCACTTCTTATCCTTCATTTCTTCCACACAGGCGAGTAGCAATAAATAACAGATACGGCAGGTAATCAGGTTCTGTTTTGTTTATTAACAGGCACCAGATTCCCCAGCCCCAGGCTGTCAGCCAGGCCAAACCGAAAACGTACACTGTCTATATCACCACTGTCCGATCATAGCTTTGACCTTCAGACCATGATAAGGACGTCTCCCAACTCCTTGGTCACAATTCTCAATAATTCCCGCAGCAGCTCTTCAGCAAGTGGCTCCTATGGTCACTTATCTGCAAGTGCAATCAGGTATGTATTTTCCCGAAGCTGTTACGTGTTTCTTTAATAAAACATCAGCTCTGGACTGCACCTGGATTTGCAGTACTGACTACCTGTGAGGACCAATACAGCAGCATGACACTAGGCCTGGCCCAGGATGCAGATCAAATGTCACTGTACTGAATTCCAGATCCAGTTATTGGGTCCAAAATGTTTTTTGTAGACTTTTAGTCAGTAGCCCATATATAGAAATAGTAGTTATTCAGTTATGATGAAATTCATTTCATAAAGACAGTGAATGAATATGGCAAATCTTTTTATCCCAGTCCCTGTTATTGATTATAGTTCTGTAGTGGAAAAACTGACTTCATACCTGGTTGTGTGACACATGCAAGAATGAGAGCGAAAATCATGGTGTAATTTGCATGTTCCTACTGGGGAAAGGCGTGCATGAAGACGTGCACTTTCCCCAGTAGTAGCATGTGGGAAGAAAAAGAAAAGGTGGCATCATGGTCTTTAGTCTAATGGAAAATAAGTGGCTACATGGGAAGGCATATCTATCACAGGAAATCCAGGAAAAACAGTTTTAGCTGTAGTGATACACCATATTTACTAGAAATGATTAACACTATTCTTTGTTCCAGAATGTTCTCAATTACAGTTTTAATTATTTTCTTGTTCCATTATCAGCAACGCTCCTTGACAAGCAAGTTAGTGTTTAAATGTTGTAAATCCCCATTTTGATACCATATCATTTTCCGCAGTGAAAAAGATATGGTCAATTTATGGTCAATAAAATGTGGAAACGTGGAGCAAAGCAAATAACTCTGCTTACTTGATTGAAGTCAGGAGATAGAAAGGGGACCTAGTTGTTTTCAAGATTAACCACTTGAGTTACAAATGTAGCTTTGGAGTCGGGGGTATCTGTAGGCAGATTCCATATTTGCCACCAACCACCTGTGCAAACCCGGCTCGCTGTTCGGCTCTCTGAAATTGTCTTCACACTTGTAAACTAAAGGCAAGACACCCACTGTATGGGGAAGGGGCACATTTAGTTAAAGCTGGTGTGGACCTGCAATTCCAGGATGAAGACCCCTACCCGTGGGCAGAGCCTCAGGGAACTGGCCCTGGATGGTCTGCTGAGGATCTGGGCTATCACGGCCTGGCTCTGCCCTGTGCTCATCCCAGTCTGGCTCTGAGGTAGTACGCTCATCTCAGAACTGTGACCTGGCTGTTCTGTACTCCTAGTAGATATTCCGGGCTTGTAGATTGCCGTTGACCATGTAATTATTATGTGGCTCGGCTAGAAGTCATAGTATCACAGTAGTAGAAATGTGGCACATGATGCTATTCACACAGAATCACTCTGTGAGCATTCCTTTCTCTTGTTTCTTGTGCATTTCTCTTTCCCCTTGCTCTCTGCCCAGCTATCTTACAGCATCTAAAGGACTTAGATTAAAATATGGTGTGCAAATGGTCCCAATGTTGTTTATTCTTACCCCAGCCTCTCACTGGCTTCTTGATCCTCTTACCTTTGCCCAGGTAACCTGGTGTCAGTACTTGAAAGACCTGAAATTATCAAGTACACTGACTTGAAATGATCATTATCCCCTGCCTCCGAGGACCTACAATAGACCTCGTTATTGTCATTAGAGCTGGAAGAAGAGTCCCTGGGGGCCTTGTTGCAGTCGGGAGAGCCAGGCCATCACACACTCCTATTCTGTCTTCGGCTCTTTCCACTCTGTGTTTTCTCTTGCAACGTGACCTCTCTTTCATTAGTACAGATCTACTATGTGTTAGGTTAGCATGTAGCTTTTACTGCATATGAGGTGATACACATAACCCAGGATGAGGTGAGCTTGCCATATAACACAACAATGAGAGTCATTGTCATCGGCATGCTTGCCACTCCTTCAACTGGAGAAATGTTAGTGCTCTGCTTGCCCTGTTCTAAGTTTCATTTTGTGAAATCTAAACACTGACCTGAGGAATAATTGGTGGGTAGTAGGACCAGTGGATGACAGGGAAAGGGAAGAAGCATGAAGAAATCTGCAAAGAGGAGCTCACTTTCTCAAGAGTGAAAGATACAAGAGCAGATGTGCACTCAGGAGGCACCTGAGCTCTGCTTCACGCCATGGAACACGGCGGGCGCTAGTCAACCCGCGATTCGGAAAGCATAGTGTTATTCTTGTTCTGCACATCAGCCGTGTGTCTTTGCAAGAGGAAATGGACAAAGGGCATGCCTGGTTGGCATCAGTGTCAGCACGCTTATCCCTTGCTTTTTAATTCACCCCAAACACATTTGCCTTTCATACATACATGTTTGCTAATACCTAGTCTGCTTCTGGTATTAGAGTGCATAGAGTACTGATACCGGTTAAATAAATGTCTAAAGATGTTAATCAATGTTTAAAGACACACATTGAGTTTTCTAAAAAATGCTGTAGCCATTTCCTTCACATTTGTGTCCCAGTTCAAATGTTACCCTCCAAGAGGCTGATAATACCATTTACCACCATTGGAAATCCCATGTGTACTTGCTCATTGTGTAACTTACTGTGTGTTTCCTCCTCTAAACACAAGGCCCGAAGGCCGAAGGCTGTGCATGTCTTGTTCATGGCCACAGTCCCCACCCCACAAAATCTGTGCTATCACCTTGACACGAGTCTACACATATTTCTTTTTTAAAAAAGTTTGTTTTACTTTATTTTCTTCATCACCATTTATCCCCTCTATACCCTCTTCTACCTCCATCCTACCCCACCTCAACCCTCACAATCATCAAACTGTTGTCCATGTCAATGACTTTTTTCTTTTTTGTTCAACCCCTCCCCCTCAATCTCCACACTCAGATGTCTGCCTGCTCTCTGTCTATGAGTATGTCTCTATTTTGCTTACTAGTTCAGTTTGTTCGTTAAATTCCACATATGAATGAAATCATATGGTACTTGTCTTTCTCTGACCGGCTTATTTCACCTAGTGCAATGTTCTCTAGGTCAATCCATGCTGTCGCACAGGGTAAAATCCACTCCCTTTTTATGGCAGAGTAGTAATCCATTGTATAACTGTACCACAACTTTTTATCCATTCATCTGCTGATGGACACTTGGGCTATTTCCAGATCTTAGCTATTGTAAACGACACTGCAGTGAACATAGGGGTACATATATTCTTTTGAATTAGTATTACAGGTTTCTTCAGATAAATTCCCAGAAGAAGAAACACTAGGTCATAAGGCAGTTCCATTTTATATTTTGAGATAACTCCATACTGCTTTCCACAGTGGCTGTACCATTCTGCATTCCCACCAACAATGCATGAAGGTCCCCTTTTCTCCACATCCCTGCCAACACTTGTTCATTGATTTTTTTTTTTATAATAGCCATTCTGATGTGAGGTTTTACCTCATTGTGTTTTTAATTTGCATTTCTCTGATGGTTAGTGATATTGAGAGTCTTTTTATATGTCTGTTGGCCATTTGTATGTCTTCTTTGGTGAAGTGTCTATTCAGGTCTTTTGCCCATTTTTTTAAATTGGATTGTTTGTTTCTTTGGTGTTGAGTTTTATAAGTTCTTTATAAAATTTGGATATTAACCTCTCATCATAAGTATCATTGGTGAATAGATTCTCCCAGTCAGTGGTTTGTCTTTTCATTTTGTTGATGGTTTTCTTTGCTGTGCAAAAACTCTTTAGTGTGTTTATTTTTTTCTTTAGTTTCCCTTGCCTGAGGAGATATATCGGAAAAAATATTGCTATGAGAAATATTTAAAATTTTACTGCCTATGTTTTCTTCTAGGATTTTTATGGTTTCTGGTCTAACATTTAAGTCTTTAAGCCATTTTGAGTTTATTCATGTGTGAGGTGTAAAATAGTGGTCTGGTTTCATTTTTTTGGACATATCTGTCCAATTTTCCCAACCCCATTTATTGAATAGACTATCATTAGTCCATTGTATGTTTTTGCTTTCTTTGTCAAATATTAATTGACTATAAAGGCATGGATTTATTTCTGGGCTCTCTATTCTGTTCCATTGATCCATGTCTGTTTTTATGCCAGTACCATGCTGTTTTGATTATTGTTGCCTTGTAGTATCAACAAATATTTCTTTAGTGAATAAATCAAGGAGCTCTTCAATTAGTAATAAAAATTATAATCACCTTTATTAAAGGAAATTTTATGTGATAGATGAACAGTGGTGGTTTTCAGAGAGTTACAGTCTATCTAAATGGTGTATTATGTCCATATGTTGATAGTTATATAGAGAGAGACTGAGACAGAGGGATGGATGCAAAATAAAGGGATAAAAAGATCAACGTCTATCTTTAGCTTGTGCATGGTTCTTGTGTTAATATTTACTTAATAATTCTGACAGCTATAAAAATGCCATAGAAAGCAAGTTACTAAACGTCCATTGGCTTATTAAAACATAGTACTTGATTATGTCTTTTTCAAGCATATTGACCAAGTGATTATCATGGGCCTTTTTTGCATGTCATAACTAAAATCATAATTCAAAAAACATAACTCCATGCACTTAGAAATGATGTTGTGAAGTATTTATTGCTCAAGTTTTAATTTCTCCATCACCCTGAAGACACCCATCTAAGATGAGATGATTCACATTTATCAGGTACAGCATATAATTCCCATTCTGTATGGTTAAGGCTAATGTAATAAATACCCAATTAATGACATTATATTAGAAACAGTTTTTTCTCTGCTAATACCTATTCCTAGAAATTGAACTGCCATTAGAAGAGGTGTTTCAAACGGCCCTCATCTTCCTGCAGGGCAAACATAAATAGAATAAAGAAATTAGTAACACACTCATTTCTCACTTTCAGTTTAATGGCTAACATAAAGATGGTTTCATATCCTTAGTAGTTTTAGGTCTGGCATGGCCAGAATAGGTACCTCAGTGCAAGTGAGAGCTATGTGCCCAGAGCTATGTCAGAAGTCGGTGTGGGTTTCTGTTTTCAGCACTGACCAGCTCTGCCTGGTAAGCAGAGGGCAGGTTGTGTTTCCTGCTT